TGGAAAATAGGAGATTATGACAATGAAGGAATTATAGTGGCAGGTGGAAATGGACAAGGACATAAACTCGATCAATTCAATTGTCCGACTTTTATCTTTGTTGATGAAGATCAATCTGTTTATGTATCGGATAGATACAATAATCGTGTAATGAAATGGAGAAAAGGTGCAAAAGAAGGAGCAATTGTAGCTGGAGGAAATGGTGAAGGAAGAAATCTCAATCACTTGTCTTTACCTGAAGGAATAGTTGTTGATGATTTGGGTCAAATTTATGTGGCTGATCTTGGGAATGATCGAATAATGCGGTGGTGTGAAGGGAAAGAAGAAGGTGAAGTTGTTGTTAGTGGAAATGGTGAAGAACATCAGTTGGATGGTCCTGTGGGCCTATTTTTTGATGATGGAGGAAATCTTTATGTTACGGATCATTTTAATCATCGAATTGTAAAATTTGAAGTAGTTTTGTAAATGTAATTTTGATTTTGATAGAAATAAAAAATGTTTTATTGAATAAATAATTGAGAAATAGAAGGGAAAATAAAGTTTTACTGTTGAAAATCAATAAAAAAAATCGATTAAAACTTGAAAATAAAGACATATTTTGACGAAAGAACTAAGAAAAATCTTTTTTGTGTTTTTCTTTAAAATTAAATTTAATGTAATAATTTCGATTAGAAGATTCGAATAGCTAAATGTTAAATTATTCATCTTTTGTTAATTTTTATTGAATTTCATAGGAAAAAAGGAAGAAAGAGAAAATATTTGTAATTTGAATTCAAATGAAACAAAAACTATTTGAAAGAAGATTTTGTGTTTTAATAAATTCTATTTCAATATTTTTATTTTTTCGATTTAATAAAATTTACGAATGGTTCAAAATTGATAATAAAAATCGACATGAAATGAATTTTGTTAAGCAAAACAAATGTTAAAAAAAATTTTATTTAGATTAAAAAAAAAGAATTTCGACAAAAAAACAAAGAAATTCAAATAAAATAAAAAGCAATAGAAGTTCTCGCATGATCCAAAATTTAAATTTGATTGTTGATTCCATAGATTTTTGATAGAATTAATATGCTTTCGTCTGATTTCATTGAATAAAACTTCTGAAGAGATTTGTCTTATTTCTCAAAGAAATCAAAATAAATATTCCACAACTTCTTAACTTACATTCACATTTCAAAATAAATTCTTTGGCAGAAAATAGCACTAAAATGATTAAAGACTTGATCGAATAAATAATTTGAAATATTTTTATTAAGAATAAAAAAACTATTAATTATCAGATTAAAACGACTTAAAGTTGATAAATACTTGACCAAATAATTGAATTTCATGATAGGATAAATTGTAAAATGTATTTTTTGAATATTTTCAGATACGTTTGTCAAGAATATATGTGACTACGAGAGAATATGTTTTGTTCTCAAAAATAAAATATAAAATGTTCATGTGAATTGAGAGTTTTATGTTCGAAAAGAGATTCATAGAATATGATGAACAATAAAAGCAAAACAAGAGAATTACAGCCAACTACGAAATTTCATTTAATTACTAACATACAAAATCGACCAATGATCAATTCTGCCATTTATCTATTGAAGATTCTTATTGGTTTTATATATCAAATCATTGAATCGGAACATACCACATCACTTATTCTCATTGAATCTCTCATCATATCAGTAATGATATCGTTCGAACTTTATCTTAAATCATATATGAATAATAATATTATTGTTAATCTTCCCATTATTATTGTTTTACTAAATTTTAATAAATAAATATATTTGAATTATTGATCTTTTTTAATCTAAACAAATAAATTGATTTATACTAAATATTGATGATTATTACGATATTTAATCATTACAAACATTGAATTTCCACATATAAATATTTTTTCAAGCATATTTTATTATGTAAAATGTTTTGTTTTGATTATAAAATAGATCATTAATTTCAATCAACATAGATATTTAGTATCATCATTTTTCTAGAGCTTTTCATAGTGAATCTTTTGAAAGAGAAAAGATCAAACTTCTATTATGTATTGATGCTGAGATATATATAATGCTTTCGTCTTTGCAATTGAATTTGATCATATTTTACTTATTTATTTCGATACTTTTTCTTTTTTAAATCATGTGTATAGTTAGAAAGAAGTTAATCGATAAAAGAGGAATTCAAAGTGATGTTACAGTTTAGTCGAAAATTAAAAAAGAGGATGATGTTCGGAAGTGTAGCAATAGTTCGTTGATTTAAAAAGAAAATGCAATTATTTATACGATGAGTAGTGATTATTTCTTCGACTATTCCCATCTCTGCAATACAATATATTCTCAGAAAATACTTGTGTGATATTCTTTTGTTCATAACTTAGAAATAACACATTTCAATATAAGTTAAAAAAGCAGAAGAAAAAGGAATTATAATAATGAAAAGGAAAAAATACTATATGGCTACGTATGGAAGAAAATACCATGTGATCATCTATGTGGTTAATGTAGAGAACGAATCATTTATTTGTTTGCTTACAAGTGGTATAAACAGAATCCTGATTCATATCGAAATAGTTTCATTTTGGTAAGTTATTCTTTTGAAATAATATTACGTAATAATGATCTCGAGAATAAGAGTGATGATAGTAACAGTAGGAGACGGGACTAAAATTAACATAACGATACGGTTGACTAAAGGAGAGATTAATATATTATCCATTTCGAGGGTAAAGTCATTAGTGCATATCTGTGTTTAATTTTCAACTTTGAAAAAACATCACTAGAATTATTTGAATTGTTACTTAAAATCAAAAGCACATCAATTTCTATTTCTTTTACTACTGAACAAGGTTTTTATTATCATTCAGTTATTATATTTATATCTAGGAAAGTAGATAATCAAATATTCATTTATTCTAGAAATTCATGTTCAAAGACATGGCAATGACAAACAATAAAACACTATGCATTATATGTAATAAAGATAAAATAACGTATCTTTGTGAAGGATGTTCGAAAAACTTTTGTTTAATGGACTTAACAAAACATCGTCAAATATTAAATGAAGAACTATATCATATTAATAATGATTATGATCAATTTAAACAAAGATTTGGTGAGCAAAAACCAAATTCACATGATCTTTCTTTAATAGATCAAATTAATGAATGAGAAACAAATTCAATTGAGAAAATTAAACAAAGAGCAAAAAATTGTAGAGAAATTGTCACAGAATTATTACAAACATGCATTAATGATATTGAAATGAAATTTAATGATTTAAATGAACAACTAAAACAATTTCGTAGTGAAAATGAATTTAATGAGATTAATTTAAACTATTTAAGAAATGAATTAATGAAAATTAGACAAGAACTAAATAATCCATCAAAGACTTATATTCAACAAGATTCTCAATCATTTATTAATGAAATTTCAATTATTTCAATGGAAAAAAGTAAGCTTGTAATAAATAATTTCTAAAAGAAAAGTGATGACAAAAAAACAATAATAAGATATGAAATAAAAGTTAACTAAAAAACTGTTTCTTCGAAGTTTCAAAAGATGTTTGATTGATAACAACAAAAATCAAATAATTAATAAAGAAATATTCTTAGAGTTTCATCACTCTTGATATTTTATTTTTTGAAAATCTTGATAAATTAGAGAAATGAAATACAATTTGTCTCTTTATCAAATATATTTATTAAGGTTTCATTCAAAATTAATCTTTTCTTTCTTCTTCTTTTCATCAAAAGTTTTTGTTTTCATTTTTTTCTAGAACCAAAATGGGATAAATGGAAACAAAATGCGATCACCGTGGCTGGTGGAAATGGAAAAGGACAAGAATTAAATCAACTCAATCTTCCTGCAGGAATCTTTATTGATAAAAAGAAAAATGTTTTCATCGCTGATAATGATAATAATCGTATTGTTGAATGGAAATACAATGCAAAGGAAGGACAAATCATTGAAAGTATAAATAAACAAGGAAATAGAATGAATCAATTGGATCGACCAACAGATGTGATTGGTGATCAACAAAATCAATCCATCATCATTGCTGATCATAATAACAGACGAGTAATTCAATGGTCGAATCAAAATCAACAAACTCTCATTCAAAATATTCACTGTTATGGCCTAGCAATGGATAAACATGGATCTCTTTATGTGTCTAATTGGAAGAAGGATGAAGTTAGACGATGGAAAATAGGTGAATACAACAACGAAGGAATTATAGTAGCAGGTGGAAATAGGCAAGGAAATGAACTCACTCAACTCAACTATCCTACTTTTATCTTTG